AAAACCTGCACAAAAACACTTAAATCAAGCATAAACCTGTCCAGCTCTCTTATTTCTGAAAATATAAACAAAAGGCATGATTTCAAGCTAGTTTCTAAGTCTAAAGGTTGCTTTTAGTATCAACTTTAAGCATGAAAATAACAGTTTTTCAACTGTTATCATTCCCCTCCAAGCAAAAGCATTCTTAACCAACCACAACTAGAGCTGTCAAAACGGGTAACCTGACCCGACCTGACCCATCACGGGTTGGCTCATTGGCTCACTTAGTTAACTTTTTTTCACCCTCTTCTTCTTAGATTCTTATAATATGTTACTTTGATCGATCAAATTGAAACAATAATAATTGGACTAATTGACATAAAAGAAAATGAAACAAAAGAAATATATTGTTATATATATTCTAAGCTATCAAGCATAAAATTTTGCTAATTTAGTTTAATTAGACATACATAACTGTTTAACCAAGAAACTACATATAGTCGTTAACAAAAATATATAGCACAAGATAAAACTGTCATGCTTGTAGATAGGTCAAAAATATATAGCACAAATGATATATTCCTGAATTATCCAATCTATAATATTATCCACCTATTAAATTAGAGTTCTAAATGGATAAATCTACAGTATTATGCTCTCTTGAAGCATCTTCTTCTTTATCTCCATCTATAATATTATTCAATCTATAATCTTAGGGTTTTATTTGCAGATGGAAACTTTTGGAAAGACAACAGCGCGAAAGACTTTATTGCTAAGTAAAGGTTGTGCATTTTGAATAATTAATTAATTAATTTGATTTCAATAAAAAAAATAGGATTTAAATAATTAATTTAATTTAATTAAAAAAATTATGTGGGTTGGTGAGCCAACCCGACCCACCACGGGTTCAACCCGTGTGAGCCGGGTTCTTAGGTGAGCCGGGTCAAAATTGGCTCGCATAAAATATTTTGTATTTTTTTTCAACCCAACTCGGCTCAAACCCGTGGTGAGTCAGGTTGGCTCACGGGTTTCAACCCATTTTGACGGCACTAACCACAACCACGAGTAGCCCTTCGTACAACCGTTCATCTTAACGGGACATGCTTACTTAGAACTCTTCGCGAGGAAGACTTTCGATATAGGGACCATTATACTCGTTTAAGCCGGTCACCAAGACAAACCATTGGCTTTGATACCACTTTGGGTTTATCGAGGAGGAGGTTCACCGGGGAGACACAATACCAATGAGATCTTAGCCCAACCATATAAGGGATTGACACCACTCTCTACCCAAAACCTTAAGGTAATGGGTTAATGGGTCTTTCACCTTAACATAATGTTCTAATCTGGTGACTGGCTTAGACGAGTATGTCCCTCCACGGTAAGGTGAAGCTCTGACAGGTGACCAGTGGTAGATAGCCAGATGAATCATGGGAGGAGGTGAAGAGCAAGAAATGCTCAGTGGCATAACCATGGGTCTATAGTGTACTCGAATAAGAAAAAACTTCCGCGATAGGGGAGGTGAAGAAGCATAGTCCTTTGTTTGAGGGAAGGATTGTTAGGATACAAACAAAGTCCCACATAGAATAAAACAAGATATGGACATGGGTTTATATACATAAGATACCTCCCTTGGTAAGAGGCCTTTTGGAGTGGTACCAAAAGCAAATCCGTGAGGGCTTGACCCAAAGCGGACAATATCTTACCAATGCGGAGATCTATGTGTGTGTTGAACATCCCTACAGTGTCAAGATGAGGTAAGTCTCACATCATTCCTTTTTATTGAAGTGTGCTCATACTCGTAAAGCTTAAGTGGTCAAATATGTGTGCCAAAGTCGAGCTAGATCTTTCGTAAGAGCATTAAAACCAACTTCTTCCTTTTATTATGTTTTTGTAGATAATTTAAACATCCTATTAGATGACATTGCAATCTTAAAAAACAACCCCTTTTCAAGATTGTAAATTTTGCATGCTTTAAAGATCTCAAGTCCTTTCTTGACTAGTTGATCAACGCTTAATAAATTGTTTCTTAATTCTGGAATATGGAATACACTGGTAAGGATTAGTGCAGTACTATTTACTAGCATTCAAACAGTGGACTTTCCTATGACATTCATGCTTGAATTGTCTCCCAAAGTCATTTTCATCAAGATCAGCAAAAGACTCTTGATTGCCACATATGTGATTGTTGCATCCAGAGTCTAGAAACCACAATTCTTCCTTACTAACTTCTTCCTTCGCATATGCCATCAACAACATTTGTTCATCACCTTCAATGTAATTTGTTGAATTTGATTCCTTCATTGGGCATTCATACTGAAAGTGTCCAAGTTTATGGCAATAATAACACTCAATGGCAAACTTGTCAAAACTGTGCCTGCCTCCACTTCTTCCCCGTCCTCGAATTCCACCACAGCTTCGTCCTCATCTTCTTCCTCTTGAAGATTCACCAAAGATAACCTTTAAAGCTTGCTCTTCTATTTCATGAGGTTTCGTCCATTGTTTATGTACTAGAAGACTACTTTGTAATTCATCAATAGTAAGTGCATCCAAATTTTTTTGTTTCTCAATAAAAACACACCACGTAATTGAATTCGGATTCATGGATCTCAATATCTTCGTAATGACTTTAATATCATCCATCTTGATCTTATTGACCCGTAGCTTATTGACCATGGTAAAAGTGCATATAAAATAGTCATTGACAGATTTTCCCTTCTTCATGTTGAGCATCTCAAACTCTTTATAAAGCGCTTATCGTTATGCATCTTATACTATTATTGTCCGAGTGATGCTCCCTCCACCGCCCCATCTTCTCCCTCCACTTCCCAATTTCTTTTAAATTCTAAATTTATCCTTTTTACTTTTCATTTTTACCAATTTTACTTTTTATTTTTTAAAACCATAATCTCAATCCCCTCTCACTTTCACTCTCAAGAGCAAGTCCCCACCCCCTATCACTTTCTCTCTTTCTCTTAATTTTCACTCCCGTTAATACAAAATTTGACAGAAAAAACATATTCTGCATGGTATAAATTTAAAACATTTATAATTTCTGATGAGTTTTGAAGTATCATGATTCCATAATATAATCTACCAAAAATTTCTTCCCCACTTCCTTACTTCCTTGTCTTTAAATAACTAAACTTGAACATCTATGCTTAAAACCGTGCTTACAATGGTGTAATGAAAGAGAAGTATGTTTGTTGAGTACAAAATAAAAAGTGAATAAAAGAAAAAATAGTTAGTTCATTTTATCTTCTTTTTCTGTCAAATTTTATATTAAGAGAAGTGGAAAATAAGAGAAAGAGAGAAAGTGATAGTGGAGGATAGGGGCTTGGTGCTGAGAGTGAAAGAGAAAGTAAAAGTGAAAGTGAGAGGAGATTAAGATTAGGGTTTTAAAAAATAAAAAGTAAAATTGATAAAAATAAAAAGTAAAAAAGATAAATTTAGAATTTAAAAAATTTGAAAAGGTGTAAGGAGATGATGGGGTGGTGGAGGCAGCATCACTTTTATTGTCCCTCGACACTTTTGCTTCAAAGAATTACAAATACTTTTAACGGTACCTTTGTTCAAAATGGTTTCCAAAATTGACCTATCGATGGCTGGAAAGAGATAAATTTTCGCCTTCAAATCTTCTAGCTTTGCATCATCAACAACTTTTCTTTCTGCTTATAGATCTATAATATCACTTGTTACAAATTGAAAACAGTGAAAAAAACTCACTATAATTGATTAACTACAATCCACATTTTAAAATCTATTAACAAAGAATAACTAGGAAAATATTATATAAATTCCTAAAAGATAAAGACTATTTAAAACACTTATAGACTTGAAATATTCAAAGCACTAACTAACATACTTAAAATTTAATTTAAATCTACAATAAAACTCAAATTAACGACTTAACCAACTTCAACAATTCTTAAGGTCATTTTGTTATATTAAAATAGATATTTTTAATTGGACATAATACGGGTGACCCAATCTCTTACGTGTCATCCAAACAAAAACTTTAGTTACAGTATATAATCATATTTTAACTTTATGATGAATCGTTAATAGATATTTAATAATTAAAAATCATTTAAAATGAATAACTAATATTAATTCACAAATAGATATAACATTGTCCAAAATTTAGCAGAAGAACTTCCATTGAGATAGCAAATTGAGAGAAGGGTAGGTGATGCTGTACCAGTCAGTTCACTCTTTAGTTCAGGCTTGATCAATTGATAGTACTCAAGTATTTGTATTTATGTTCAGCGACATATTAAGGGGCGATCAAATTCACAGGCGGCACACGAGTGGACACGTGTTTCCTAGTTGGCGCATTGTCTTTGTGTTTACGGTTGTAGTTTGAAAAGGCAACAATGATTTGGATGAGAGACACAATTACATTATCATGGACACGGGTGTGAGTGGCGCAATATCACTCATTGCCTCCATCTCTAAACCTCAATCTCGAATCAGAATATGGGGACATTGTTTTTCTTCCATCCACCGATTCCTCGTCTTCAACTCCCTTCCGTGCCAAAACCCGTTGCATTCCCTCCTATTTCTTGCCTGAGGTCAGACTTTTACTCCACTTCCCCACCCTTTCTATCTTCGCACTTTTTTATGTTTACTATTATATTCTTACTGGGGTGTCCTCAAAATCCAACTTTGATGCCTCAGAGACTGAAAAGTTGTCCCTTTTGCTTTGATATTTCATAAATTTATATAATTCATCTCAGGGATTATTCCTGCTTAACCTCTTTGCATGGCTTATGTGTTTTCAGGAATAATGGAGATGTCAGTGGCTTTCATGAACACAAGTAACATTTTTTATTCTTTAAAGTTTTTCTTTTTTAATTTTAAATAAACATTTTACCGTGTTTCTTTGCCGATTCATATACCAGTGTAGTCGGAACTGACTTAGGAATTTGTATCTTAGGTCAGAGGGTAATAAAAATGTGGACATATCCCAGGTATGCTGCTTTTGTTTCAAAATTGTTGTGTTTTTCGCATTTAACTTTTACTCTTCGTTCTCTGTTTTTGCAGAGATTTCATAGACTTCTAAGTAATTACTGTTTCCCCCACTTTGTATGTTAGACAATATCTAATGATGGCCAGAATGTGAAACAAGATAATATTTGGCAATTGTTCAAAGAAGCTCAACAGAGTTAGTTCTTTCACCTTATTCACACTGGTGCTTCGTACAAGAGAGTTAAATAATTTCTGGTTTATTTTCTCGTTATTTAGACATACTGTACTTGAACGACCAACGTCTTGGGGCCATTAAGGAACTTGAGAAAACGAATAGAGAAAAACACTCGCTACTAGAAAAGATAAAGAAATTGGAAGCAGAAAAGCAGGCTGGTGCTGGTAAAGGTAAAAGGTGATGGTTTAAATGCTTAATAGCATCAGCATGTGCTTTTGTAGTACCTCATAATGCATACTTTTGGTCAGATAAATGCATTTCATTTGTTGTTGGCATCCTCTAGGTTATCTTCTGTCGTACTACTTGAATTGTGTAGAGTTTTTTAAATCTATGATAAAAACATTCTATTATTGATACAATTTATCAACCATAGATTTGCCTTTGAAGCTCTCGATGATTAATTGAATTTTATGTTTCTGTCTCTTTTTGTAACCCAGATAATCAATCAACTTGTTCAGAGTTGCTGCTTCGGATAGATGCCATGGTCCTTAGCAGCATGATTAGCCCTGGAGAAGCATCTGAATTAAGAAGTTTGGTGATTAATCACAAAGTGAGTCTGGCGGATGTTTTTAATATCATCTCACGCAAAAAAGATCCCGAACTTCTAGGACAACTTCGTCACTTTTCACATGGACACAAAAAGTAAATCCTGACTGCATTTGTTTATGTTCCTCCTTCATAGTTACAGCAGTCAATGGGTTATCCTATTTTTGTTGCGTTATCTGCCAACTGAAACATCTGGAAGCATTTCAAAATTCTCAGCAATTTTATTTTTCTGTGGTAGTGGCACAGAGCGTGTAACATACCTAAATTACTGAAAGAACTGAGCATGAAGAGAGACATGGATATCTGAGTCTATAAAATTAGCAAGTGTATAAGTACTTAAACATGTACTGTTTAATAGGATACGGAGTCAGCTAGGTTTTTTGCTGGAATTATAGATTCTGGATTTTTCATGTTAGTGTTTTTTTTTTGCTAATAAGGCTAATAATTAGTAGAATTAATTACTATTTTCCTCTTTTACTTTTCCTTTCTCATTTTTAAAATCTGATTCTCCTTTATTGTATGAATTTCATTCAGGAATGGTTTTCATATTGTTCACATTTGCACAGAAATGACGCCAATGGTCCCTAGAGGATCGGTAGCTTCATATGTGACTGGCATATCTCGTGCACTTCAAAGAAAGGGTCACTTGGTGGAAGTTATATTGCCAAAGTAAGATATTTATGTCCTTTTGTTCTGTTTGCTATTTTTCTTATTCTTTCAATTAATATGAGCATGAAACTTCTGAGTCTATTTTGTGCTTTGTATATATGCATTTGGTGTCTATTTTATATGGCTAAATTAGTCTAATTAATAGTTTCTTGATGTTTATAATTCCTTAATTTGGATGTATCTAATTTCGTGTAGGTATGCAAGTTTAAACCTCAATGAAGTGCAAGGATTGCGTGAAGTTAATGTAGAGGCTTACTCATATTTTAATGGTCAATTGCATGGAAATAAAATTTGGACTGGGTTAGTTTGGCTTTCTTTGTCTGTTTATTTACTGCAAGTCTCCATATAAAATGAATGTCAAATAATTTTACTGCTTGTTATTAAGTATATTAGAAGTACTATTTCACATTTTGTTCCTTTTTTAAAATCTGCTGATTTTCATGTATTCTATACTTACTCTTAGCATGTGACAGTGTTGTTTATGGCATTGGAGTCACTTTGATTGAACCAAAGTACTTTTCATCGTTTTTCAATCGTGAGATGATATATGGCTATCCAGATGATTTTGAAAGGTGAGTGAAATGATATTTCTAATGATTGTGGTTCATCTAGTTTCTATTTGTTAATGTTTAAAAGCAAAGAAAAACTTGAACTTCGAAGTTCATATAAGAAGCTAGTCAGATAATTTTGAAATGTTTTTGTTTAATGGGGAAATTGATAATGAAAATTCGAGACTAGAAAGCTGGATGTATTTTTTAATACCAACACACTCTTTTTTTAACCCATTATGACTGACTTTTTGTGCTCTCAAACTATCTTCAAAGAGTGAAATAAAACAGATACTCTGATAGTTGCTATCTCATGTGCATCTTAGTTTCTTGTTATAGGTGACAGGAAAGTAAAATCTGATCTACTTAAGTTTTCACTTGAAAGAGAACTGAATTGTTTGTCATTCTTATGGCAAATATGCAGCAGTCGGTATAACACACATATAGCCACGAAAATCAGATGGAATAAATGCTACTCTGAAGATTTTAAGCTGCCAATTTGTGCATAATAATAAGAGAGGAATTAAGAAAACTAGTCCCAATTAAAATTAGGGAATACTCTAATGTACATGTAATTGCATGCGACAACACTTTCCTTTTACTCTGGCGTACTTAATTGTCAATAATCTTAATATGATTTCTTTACCATCAGGTTCTCCTACTTTTGTCGAGCATCATTGGATTATATTGTAAAATGTGGGAAGCAGCCTGATGTATTACATATTCATAATTGGGAGACTGCCATAGTTGGGCCCCTTTTCTGGGATATATTTGTTAAACAGGTTTCTATTCTTAATTTTGTGCTCTTTTTAACTACAGTAATTTTGTGATTTAGTGTAAATTAGGACATATTTTCAGGAAAACAATTAATGTAGTTGAGCCTTGTAAAATTCAATGGCGAGCAAACTTTTGTAGTTTTGTTTCAAGTGATCCCTTTCTTTTTCCCTTAGGAAGCTGAGAGCATATCTCTACTTCTATCCTGTGGCTGATTGGAAACTGCACTATGTGTCTTATCTTATAACCATTTTTATCCTTGATGACCCTTAAATTGTTTTCTCTTTTTAAGAAAATGTGCATAGGTTTTCTTGCCATGTACGAGAGTGGTTTAATTATGGAATAGTATATTGCTTTGTTGCATAATCTTCTATCGAGACTTATTCATTAGTTTCTGGTTCTTTACATAGAAAAGGATCCTCTGTAATGTTCTTAATGATTTGTTTTGTTTAGGGACTTGAAGGAACCAAAATATTATTTACATGCCATGGCTTCAATTCACAGGTTATTCACTGATCTTGGCCTGCTGGATTATGCACTTTGTGTTGAATTTCCGAGCTTGACATTTCTTTCAGCTGAAATTTTCAGGAAAATTACATATCGTTTGTTATGGATTTTACATTTGGTCTTGTCAGTCTTGCAATTATTGGATGTGCTGTGTATGTAGGAGGGTATTGAACAACCAGATAAATTGGCCTTATGCGGGCTTGATCCTTTACGACTTCATCGCGCTGATCGTTTACAAGACAACACTAACACACAACTAGTCAATATTTTAAAGGTGTGCTAGTCATATAAACACTTGACTTAGTTTTTGTGTTATATCCCTCAAACTGTAATATGTAATAGTTGAATAACATCTTGTGTGCCACAATCTCTCTTTTCTCTTTTGAGACTGTATTTTCTTATGACTGTACAACATTGAGTCTTCTATCAAATTTGCAGGGTGGAATTATCTATTCAAATAAAGTTGTAATAATGTCGTCTATCCATCAAAAGCATGTAATTGTTCATAATCTGAGTCATGAACTGGAACCTACTTTAAATGAGCATAGGTAAGTATGCTGTCATAACATAATTTCAATCTTGTTTAGTGTTTTATGAGGTGTTACTTTTTCTTTCCTTGCAAATCAATATTAACTTGAAATAGTTGACACAGTGAACAGTCTGGTTGATAACTATATTGGTTAGCTTTTTATAAATAATGCCCCTTGTGTAGTTTGATAATGTGTTTCCACGCTAAAGCGTCCACCTCTGTCTTTCCCTTTGTATTCAACAAGGAAAGTTACATTTGGTTGCAGGGACAAGTTGGTCATTGCTCCTTATGGGTTAGACAGGTCAACTTGGGATCCTTCGACAGACTATCTTCTTCCAGAAAATTTCAATGCTGAAAATTTCAATGGAAAAGCTGTTTGCAAAGTTTCATTGCTGCAGCAGCTGGGGTTATCTGAACATTCTTCCAGTATTCTTGTAAGTGGTTCACTCCTTATTTATGTATGTGCCATTGTAAATATATCCAAGGAGAAAAAAGTGTAACATGGTACAAACAATGTGAATGTGATAACTCTGTAATAGAGATTAAATGATGTTCAAGACAAGCTTAATGACAAACAAATTTTAAATACTACTGGGGTTAAGTGAACTGGAGACATCTTTTTTATTTTGTTAAAAAGAAGTACTTCAACAAGATGGAGAGAATGAAATCACAAGGCCAAAACAATAAAACGTCCAAGGAAAAAGTGAACAGCTTTTGGCTGCGTCCCTTCCTTTGTTCGTTTTTGGAAATTTCTTCATCATTCTTATTGAAATTATTCATTTATTTTCTTTAATGTATTTTCATTTGATGAAATATATGGTTAAAGCTGTTTTATTTTTCAAAGCAATATGATAACTGGTATACAACGTTACGAATTAGGTACATGTGGTTTTAATTGGCTTTTGTGCTCATAGTTTAAATTTTTAACAGGTTGGATTCATTTTTCCGGAAGGACGAGACCTGGATGTGAAAAGGCTGAAGGAAGTTATCTTGAATGCCAAGCAACAGGATGTCCAGGTTGCCATCTCTGTTGTCTTTATACTTTTCTTGTTTTCTTTATTTTAAAAAAGTACAGTCTCATTGTTTCTAAGATTTTTTCATTAACTGATATTGAAAAAGAAGCTCCAAACATAGCAGTATGCATATGAAGTTTTTATCTGTTTCTTACAGGAGAAACAATCTCTGTTGTTCCTTGTGTTTTCATATTGAAGATAAACTAATAAACCCTATGCAAATCAACCTTCTATGAAACGAATCTGGCTATGGAAAATTATTGTTTCAGATTTTGTTGTTTTAATTAGTTTGGAATAATTATTCTTTGCAGTTCATATTTTTGGGGACCAGTGAAAGATCAGTCTTGAATCAGACCCTTGAATCGCTTCAGAAGGAACTCAAGGTAGTTACCACAGTCTTGTTTTTATTTTTTATAATTCCTTGTAGCTAATTGCTTTTTATTGCAAAAGTGGATTTGAGCTTAATTTAACTCTATAAAGCCGGTTTATAAAACGATGTTTGTATGCATTTATATATATAATTTGGTCATATTTGTATTACTGAGATCTCCAAAACTTTTATACCTACTACAGCGACAAAGCTTTGAGCATTAGCAGTTTTGACTCTATTTTTCAGCAAACTGCCAGGGCATATCTTGTCCTAGTCATTGTTCAGCAGAATGAACATTTCAATTTAAATTATACAGTCATAAAGTTGCATTATTTTGACATTATGTTCTAAAAGAGGTATCTAGTTGGCTATACAATCATATGGAGATGGTAAATAATTTTTCAACTAGTTCTAATATTAATTGTTCATTTTAATTATAGGTTGAGATACACTTTTCTCATTTGATACACTTCCATGTTCTTAAATTACTGCTGTATTGGAATTTAAAAAAAAAATCAAATTGGCAGATTTCCTAAAAATTAATTATTTTATTCCTAATTTACCCCCAAATAAGGTAAATCAATTCTTGTGTGTGCAACATAAAAAAGTAATGCATTTGTTGGGAATGATATTATTTTAGGAAAATTGTTTCTGTAACATGTTTATCGTTGTTCATAATCTGTTATAGAGTTAATATTTCTTTCCTTTTCTGCTACTAATGATTTTCCATTCCATTCAAAATCTTCAGGATGATAATCTTAAACTTTTTCCTACTTATGATGAAGCTCTGTTGCATTTAGTCTTTGCTGGATCGGACATCATCTTGTGCCAATCTTTCGTTGATCCTACTGACGAAATCCCTGTAAGACCACCATCCATTCTAGTGGTGATTTTTTCTCCACTGCTGTAGCACCTCAAGTAAAACATTCAGTATGAATTATATTTGTTAGCCCTGGTACTAGGAAGTTGCTTGTTTCTATAATTTCATTAAGACTTTGTTTTCTAGTCTTCCTGAAAACTAAATGTTGCCACTGAGGAAATTCATGATGGTTGGTATAGATGCAGAAAATCCATTCCTCCATCTCTTTTATTGCCTGTTTTATGTGGGAAATGTAACACACATCACCGAGTTTCAAAATTTCAAATAATTTTTTTTTCTGTTTCATGTACAAATCTTTTGCTGTAGAAAACAAATTGAATAGCAGGTGACATTTTTGTAGTTAAAAGTGAACAAAAGTATGAAAAAAAACATTTCTAAAATTAAACAAGTCTTATTTTGTTTCTTTTCTGGTGGGTGGAGATTGTTATACATAAACTGAATCTTACAGTATTTTGTAACCTGAATGTGTAGCTCATAGCATTAAGGTATGGAGCAGCTCCAATAGCACTTACCTCTGATGCAAGCACAAACAGGTAATCCATAAACATATATCTTGTGATAGATGAAATTTTTTCTCCGTTCTTGTTGAACACTCATTTCATTTGTATCTATCTGCAAGGGTGATACCTTTTGAAAGGAACTTCACAAACCAAGACCATGAGGCTACCATGTACTCAAAATTGATCAACTCTAGCTTTTTAAACATCTCTCTCGGCCTTGCTGTTGATGAAATTGTATGTAGTTTCTAGTGGTTTCTCCTTAGTAAGTTTTACTGTTTCTAGAAAATAACAATCCATACAGTTATGATCCATTAAATTGCTTTCCTTTTCCTGTAGAGGACTAACCCTGCAATGTGGAAACGAAAAATAATGCAAGCAATGGCACATGACTTATCATGGGATGGTGAATGCTACGATCTTCATTTTGCAGCTTACTCTGCTATAAAGAATATGTAAACATTTTTTTTTTTTGTTTAGGAACTTGAGATATGACAGAATAGTATTCAATATAATGAATAAGGATTTAGAATTTAGGAATTAGGATTAAGGTTGAAGGAGTTGGAAGGGTATGGGGCAGAATAATGAAATCTGGGTTGAATATATTTTTAATTTCGTATAAATTGAGTGAAATTTTGAAATTGTGTTCATGTATTTGTTTTCTTTCTTTATATTCCTGAAAAGTTTAAATAATTATTCTGATATGATACTTTTCTCTGTGTTAAAATAGAAGTCAATGAATCTTCTGTGGTTGAGGAAAATGATCTCTCTAAAAGTTAAAAGTTAGGTTTTACATAAATAGTAATTAAGTTGATGGATACTAAAATGACATCATTGAAGTGAGTTATTAATATTATAGTTAAATAACGTCTTTTATGTTATAAATGTAATTTTTATTATTTAAATTTAAATTTCATTTCTTAAGCTTTTAATTTATGGTTAACTTTTTTTAATTCTTAATTGCGACAATGTATTTTAAAATAATTTGGCATTATTAAATTCCATTTAAACAAAAAATTATCTTACAAAAAGTATGTTTAAAATGATATAGAAGTTTTAAACGTTTGATATTTTGTAATTAAGTTATGTATTTTTAAATCTTTGAAACTAAAAAGTCTAAATGTGTATATTTTAGTATATTTTTTGTCGTAAGCACGTCCTTCCATTAACTGAGACAATTAATTTTAAATTACTTGAATTTTAAATTATTTTATAAAACAACTTTTAATTAAAATAACTTTTAAAGTAGTTTTATTTTTTTTACAAAATTAGCAACCTTTTCTAGTGGATTACAATATACAAATATTGGTACTATACTTCTATTTAAATTAAATTATGCGAAACTATTGAATATAAATTAGCAAACTAAATATGATCAATTTAATTATTTATTTGTTTTGGATATTTGAGAGTTTTTGTAATAAAAGAGATTATTTAAAAGAAATTCAAACAAACACGATACCTATTTTTTCGAATATTCGAGTTGCAAAAGCTTCGAGTATATACGTTCACGCAAAAAGGAAATTTAACATTCAAGAAGATTACACAAGGTTGTGAATTTCAATACTTTTCATTCAGAAGATTAAAAAATTATATATTCTTAATTAATTTAACCGTTGAAATATAAAATGTACGCTATATATCAAATTTTGAAAAAATTTATTTAAAAAGTATATTTTATAAAAGTAAACTTTTATTTACATAAATAAAATGTCCCGTAATTTTGAATTAATATAACTGCTTAGACATAATTTATACAAGTTAAACTTTTAATACAACTGCATGCGTAAAAATAAGTTTTTTTCACTAAAAATTATCATATAACGCAATAGTTTATGTGAGATTAATATAATATTAGAAAGCAAATTTTAGATGCGATTGATTGAGAAGTAAAAGGTTATACATTAACCACTAAATTTAGATTTTTATTATATTTTGTTTGATTCAAAATAGCCACGATATTTTAGTGAGTTGTTTATTATATGAGAAAATCATGACGACTTTCCTGAAAATCAAAATCCAAATGTTAAACAACGAAGACTTATATAAATATGTAGTGAATTATTATTTATTAAATGATAAATAAATTGATTAGATTATTTTTTTTTATAAAAGAGTAAAACTAAAGCAGAAAGAGCTGTAGTCGTCATAAATAAAAATGTAATAAATTCTAATAAAAATCATATGGATGTTAAAGAAATATTTTCATTTGATTGGATCCTATATTTTATATATTTATTAGAACGTGAATGAAACGTTATGTATAATTTATAAGGGAATGGAAGGATCGTAGGCGGTTGAGTTTGGAGGAACGATTACGCAAATGAAATGAAAGGAAACTCGAGTGTAGACTTACTTCAGCTATTATTGTAGACTAACTAACTACGTTTATTTATTTCATTTCTCAATTGCAAAAATATATATATATTCAAAGAGAAGAAGAAGAAGGTGCGAGCAGAGCGAAGCGAAAATGGCATCGGAGTCGGGTCAAAGTTCCAATCCTTCTTGGTTTACGCCTAAAAGGTCCTTCTTCTCATAAACCTACTTTTGCTTTTCATTGTTTCTGTTTTTCAACTCGAAATTCGGAACAATACATGATTCACTGATTGATATTCTGCAATTCAAAAGTGTTTTGTTCTTGATGTGTAAATGAACTACACAAATTAGTTAATTAGTTTATTAATTAATACATGTGATGTGATGATTGCAGGCTTCTTATGATATTTTGTATCATTAACATGCTAAACTATGTGGATCGAGGAGCTATTGCCAGTAACGGTGTAAATGGAAGTCTTGCAACTTGTACTGACTCCGGTATTTGTACTGGTGGCAGTGGAATTCAGTAAGCTCTGTTTCTGCTAAACTCTATTTTACTACTGATTGTTGTTTTCGTCTTATTGTAGCACGATTTTCCACATTTCAGGGGGGATTTTAACTTGAACAATTTTCAAGATGGTGTTCTGTCATCTGCATTTATGGTTGGACTCCTAATTGCTTCTCCAATATTTGCTTCTCTGGCCAAAAGGTACATGTTATGCAGTAAATAAATTTCAACAAAAACTGCAATGAAACTGCACCGATTGTATATTTCTAAAGTCAATACAACAGTAAATGGACTGAATAAAATGCTATTATTGGAATCATTCCACACGTTCTATTATCAATTCTAAAAAGATCCCCATAGCAGAGACACTCACAGTCACTGATTCACTCCAGGGTCATAGCACCAGAGGAGAGATAGTAAGGATTAGAGAAGTTGTTATTGGAGAGAGAAGAGAGAATCTCAAAAGAGAGAATTGTACCACAGATTTTTCCCTCCTAGACGAAGTCACGTAGCCTCCTATTTGATATTCTCTTTCTGCTCCTCCTCCTCCTTGGTTCTCTAGTTTCATAATTGGTTGCCAGCTGTCCCCTTTTAGTAACTAACTCTGAATTTGTCTCCTTGTGCATTATATCTTCCATGTGGCCATCCATTTCAGCATTAGCACTAGTAGCCACCTCAGCATTATTTTTCTTCCTAACAGTACTTGCTTCTTGTTGCATGAGCTTTTGCCTGCTTCTCATGTTATTTATGCTCATGGATTTACTATGACATTAAGCTCATCACGTCACCATGATTAGTTGTTGTAACTTTATATGGTGTGGATGTAGTAGTAATAGTTGTAGGTATTGCATTCGTATTATCATGAGCTGAGGGCTAGCTTATAAATTCAACAGCAAAAATAAAATATCAGAATATCCTTCTAATCTTGGGGTTATTTTTGTGACTCAATATTCACAGACCTCTTGCTGCTTATCTACACTTGTGTAGCTTGTCTTCTCATTTCCTTGCTCTTTTGAAATTCATGACTGAACACAAGCCTGTCTTGTCAACTAAATGGTTCAAATCCTCCTACAAATGTACAGTCCAATAGAAATTTCACTTCTCACTTCCAGTTTGGTTAATGCAAATCATAGATGCAGGAGAGTTCTACGGTCATTTCTATTTATTATAAGCGAATTGACACATTTTTGGTAATCTTGTTGGAGATCCCACATTGGTTACAAATTAAGCCAAATTATAATATATAAATGAGGTATAATCTTACCTTACAAGCAAGTTTTGTAAAATTGAATTAAGTATAAACCCATTTACGAAGATAGTATAAGAACCATTTAGTGCCTATCATAGTCCAGTTCTTTGAGACTATTACAACTAAGGTGGGATTATAATATGTAAGTCAGATGCAATCCTCACCTTGCCCACCTATCAATTGAATTATATAAATTAAAGTGGAATGAAGTGATGCCAGATTTCAGCATGTTTGCCTTGCTTGGATGCATGGCATTTTGTTAAGAAGTTATGTTAAAAATGCATAAACAATGGGAAACTGATAATTTGAGTCATGCACTTCAAAAAGGCTTAGGCAGCTCAAAGTAGGATTAAATATTTACAACCACCATGTTTCCCCTTTCATTGAATGTTGATTAATGCATTTTCATGTTTGCAGTCACAATCCATTTCGGCTTATTGGTGTTGGATTGTCTGTTTGGACATTTGCGATAGCTGGATGTGGTAGTTCGTTTGATTTTTGGTCTATTGCAATATGCCGAATGTAAGGGAATGTTTTAGTGCTTTCAACATTATAAAGCCTTGAGCTCTTGATAATTCACCAATTTCTCATGTCATATTTTGATTTGAGACTCACAGAAGTTTTTTTGCAGGCTAGTTGGGGTAGGTGAAGCTTCCTTCATAAGTCTTGCAGCACCATTCATAGATGACCATGCCCCTGCTGCACAGGTTTGACCTATTTCTTTATTCCCCCTTCAGTTCCTTCATAATTAGTTGAAACTTTTCCTTCATGAATACAGTTTTGCAGATTAAGTGTTTTTATTCATGACAGAAAACAGCATGGCTTGCTACGTTTTATATGTGCATACCAGCTGGGACTGCTCTGGGCTATGTTTATGGTGGATTTGTAAGACTACATACTTCCATTGTCTAGCTGTGTTAAGATGACTTGTTTCTTTTGTTTGATGGTGTCAACTTGTGGCTTTTTGATTGTGCCTGTGTATTGTGATGTATCATTTTCTTGGACTGCTATATATAGGCCTAATAATTGTTGGAATTTTTATCTGTTTTGGTCGAGTTTGGCTTTTATTTATATATGTATAGGGGCATAAGATGAACACATTAAATAAAAACATTACTATGAGATCAGAGGATAAGAGATTTCGTGATAAAAGAAAATTCAACAAAAGAGATAAAAGGGATTAAGCTAAGTTACCCAGCCTTCTCACTAAACATACCCTTAAGGGAAGCCCCTCCCAGAAGGCCGTAAACTTTGTCAACTAGAAGCCAAACACCTAATTCTATCTCAAAGAAGCTGTTCACTCGTTGGACTCTTCTTTAAGATAAAAGAATTGTGTTCCAATCACATGTACCAAAGAGTGGCATAAACAGCACATTGCCACGTTAGCATCCCACACATTCTAATTTTAGTCACACTAAACAATGCATAACTTAATGTGAAAGGGCACAAGATTCTCAAGGAAACTGCATTCTGTTTGATTTCCAAGGCAACGTTCTTTGAAATCAACTT